CAACTGTAGCACTGAGTTCGAAATGTAAACCTTTACGATCTACGATGCAGCAAGTCAACGACGCACCTTCAAAACAACGAAATTTTGAAAGACAAAATATATGAATAATTTGTAGTCCCATGGGGCATGGGTATCCTCGACAGCTGTCATTCATCAATTTATGACGAAGTTTCCAGTACAGATGCCAGGATGAGAATTGTATACGACTAGTCGTATGCTACAGATATGCCTTAAAAACGAGAAGGAGTAATTCAAGGGAGCTATTAGAAAGGGAGGGCTAAAAATGAAGAATTTACCCGAAAGCTAACCAACTTTAATGCCATCAGTCCAGTTTTATATTGAGGTCACTGTCCCAGCCTAATCGCGGGCTTAATTCCAAGAATATTTACGTTTCCGGCCTTCCGGGTATTTCACAATTCTAAATGAACGCAACACTTTCAATTTGGCAGTACAGTATTTGTGGCAAGATTTTATGCGATCATTTCGTTGGAAAGAAGACACAAATATGTTATCTTGAATTGTGAAGTAAGAAAGATTTAATTGAAATGGCAAGTGCTTCATCGGAAAGTGTTCCTGTTGATGAAATCAACGAATTACTCACATGTTGCATGTGTTTGGAAACCCTACAAGAACCACGAAGCTTGGCTTGCTTTCATAATTTTTGTAAAGTGTGTTTAGGTGAGTAGTGGGTAGTTCTTTGTTTAAAAGGTATACTTGACGCATGCTTTGCGTGGATACTTTACAGTTTAATAATTAAATACCCGCCGAGTAATGCAAGTTTTATTTTTGCGCAATGAATGCTTCTCTGCTGCATTAATTGCGCGGAAGTGAAGGCAGAACAATTGAGAATAAGTAACTGCATTGTATGCAAGCTAGCCAGGTCGTCACTTACAATACTAAATTATGTTTTTGTGTATTAAGCTTCCTCTCGACACAAAGTAGACGAAATAAAAGCATTAATTCATGAAAAATACGCAGAATTTGTAGGATTTCGTTGAAAATGCGCGGACAGAAGTCACAGATGAAATGTCTGCGCAGGGAACGCCTTCCCCGATAGAATGTTTTACACCAGCATAGGGGCTTCAGATGTATTGAAATAAATCACAAGGTTTAATTTAAACAGCAGTTCAAATGCCAGTCAAAGAACTCAAATGTTGTCAAGAAATTCTCATGGTTGAAGAATAATATATTTAATGCCGACCTCGTTTTTGAGGGCTTGAGTTTTGAAGTTTGAAATCTAGTCGTTGTATACATGATCAGAGATACATGATAATCTGTATTTGGCGTTGCAGCATGTAAACAGAGCGACAGCGATATCTAAAACTTAAACTCCTGTGGGATGTTAATTGTTCATTTTTGCTCACATCAAGACCATCCCAGCTCACATCTCATCCCCGCAAAGCAAGATGTTAATTGTTAATTTCTGCTCATTTCTTGACTTAATTTCATCACATCAAGATTATCATTGTATTAATATAAAGTTATATTATTAGCCGTCTTTGTTGCACTTTCGTTGTCCTGCTTGTTGAAATTCTTAATAGCAGTACTCAGTAGTTCTTTATGATGTTAAAAGTTAGTGTAAAATTTAAGGCTGTTTCTTGACACGTTCCCATACTAGATTAATTAGAGAGTTTAAGCTTGCGTTATACGGCAAACGGCAAACGCCAGGCAAAGGAAACATTTACGGTAGGCAATAAAGAGTAAATGAACTTGCTGTTTTAAAATTGAAATGCGCAATTATTCTTTCGACGCAAGAAAGAAAATATGAAATAAAAACGTTCAACGAAAATTTTGTCAAGAAAGTTCGAATATGTGCCGTTTACCGTCCACGGAAACGTGAACAGAGAGCTTAAGCTTCGCGTTCAACGACAAAGGTCGGGCAAAAAAATTTTACGCTATAAAGCAATAAAAAAGTAAATGGGCTTGTTTTATAACTAGAACGCTTAATCTATTCCTGTGTCATATGAAAGAAATTATGACACGCAGTCCATAGTCGTTGCTTAGCTACACCCCGAGCCTGCTACACTAAAGGCCAGAACTTGAGCGCATACTTCATGCTTTGCTTTATAAACAACGCCCACGCGAATATTTGAAATTCCGGATGCTTTGATAGGAAGTGAAAGGATAATTAGGAATTCTAGTGGATAAACGGAAAGGCTGCTGACCGACTGGTACGCTTGCGCAATGTCCGTCATTTCTGGCCATGAACTAAAATTATGCCAAGAAAAGTCGGTCTTGCCGTTTGCTGTTCCCGCAAAGGTGAAGCTTAAACTCCCTAACTTCTTTTTAACCGAACGCAAGGTCTGTATAGAGAAATATCGAACCGAGGTACGCGAGGTCTTTTGTACAGACCGATCCCGTAGGGCAAGGTTTGTACAAAAAGACCGAGGTCCGATATCTCTCTGTAAAGACCGAGCAAGCGAAGGTAATAAAAAGTTTATTATATGACATTTATACTCGAAACAAACAAGAAATGCATGATATGAAATGCATATTAATAGCGTGGTACACATTTGGTTGAAGAAAACAAAAATTACCAATGCATTCCTTCCTTTACACTTGAAACCATTCGCAGAAATCTTATTAATAACAAATTAAATTATAATTTTCAAATTTTTAATTAGTTTTGCTGTTTTGTTTTAAAAAATACATGCGTTTGTTTTTACGCAATGGACCGCCGGTCCATTTCGGGAAAATAATGGACCGCTGAAAGTGCTTCTCAGCCAATCACAGTCTGCTATTTCACTAGACGTGATGCTTGCCATATAATAAAATACGATAATCGTCAGCAAGAGTTTTCACCAATTTTTCAGTTATATAGACATGTATTTCACAGAAATATATCTGCCTATCATCAGGCCGCAATATGCATCGTTACTTTAAATAAAGTTATTGTAGAAATTGATAAAATTGCACTTTCCAGGCTTGTAATTTTCGAACTTTTTTTTTTGGGGGGGGGGGAGCATACCCTCAGACAGCTAAGGAAGTTTTATAGCAATAGGTGCGAACCTACTTTACTCTCAAAATGTTTGTTCCCATTACACAGTATATATGGTTCATTAATGGTTCAAACAGTAAGCCAGTATAGATATGTGACTATGTGTGGCACAGGGGTCTGCAGATACTGTAATCTAGAGCACAGAGAGAGAGAGCAGTTTTATACTCTACATCTCGAAGACATTTGTGCATGTCTCACATATAGTCTAGGACCTGTATATGAGTTTGTATGCGTTTCATTTAGCACAGGTAATCTCAACTGTTTTAGGGTAAAATGACCATGGCGGTCAACAT